CAGCACACCAAAAATCCTCCCCGCCACGGCTGCAGCTTCTCACGGACAACATAACGCCACTCGCATCATTCACAGTCGGGTTATTAGCAGAGAACACCGAGCTGGTCTTGAATTTCAGGCGCAGGATTGCGGCTATTAATAATAATTCTACTCATTCCCGCAGGTTCCGCGCTTATAACGCGATGACAGATGACGGAACTTATCATTGGCACGTACTTTTGAGTCTTGAGAACTCACATTTTCTGTGCGCCCACAGATCGCGATAAGGAGAGTGACAGATTTTAATAATTATTCAAGGAGTTTGCAAATGTGATATTGATTTAATACAACAGTTCAATAAACACGTACTGTCTGATTTTGCGCTATTTCATCAACGAAAATAGTTCCAAATAAAGTAACAGCTCAGCCGCTTCACATCTCTAAAAGCAAACACAGCGGTGTTTCATTCATGAATGAAAGTGCGTTTTTGAACGAATCTAATGAGTCAGTGATTCATGATTACCCATTCATAAAGACAGTCACTTGCTTCATTCCTGAATGAATTAGCCGTTCAAACGAATCAATAGAATTAATGATTCAGTGATAAAATCTGTGAATTGCCGCCACCTGCTGGCGGTTTGTTTCATTTTTAGGTATGATTGCAGTTATTTAAATCATTTAATATTTCTGTATTCAAAATTTTATTTAAAACATTAATCTCCACATGAATTTATGAATTTAATTGCACTCATGCCACTTCTGAGCCTCATTGAATGTCTGAAAATGTACTACCACTTTTGTGTTCTTTTTGTGCCACCTCTGTAGTACAAATACATTTTTCATTAATACTAATTTCATGATTGGTGACTTTTGTCTTATTCTTCTACTTATTATATTGTTTTAAATAGAAATTTTAAAAAGCTTATAAACATAAATTTTTGAATTGAAAATGACAGATGAAAATGATGCCATTGCAAAGGTAAAAAGAAAATGCCCCTGTAAATCACTTCACCTCATATTAGGAAGGCTAATTTTTGATCAGAATTTTTGATCATTGATCAGAAGGTGCTCCTTAATTTTTTTAAATTAGGAGGACAAGCGCTCTTGATTACAAGAAGAAAAACACTGCTCTTAAACTGGGTGTGTGACAGGTATGGCTGAGGAATGGGGTTTGGCCGAGGAAAGATCTGTAATAATCGGTATTGGCATTGGCCTTGAAAAACACATACCGGTCGACCCCTAAATGTGATCCGAACCGTGAGATTTGTGATCTGTTGAACCACTACTCAGCAGAGTGGTGGAGTGTGAAGAATCAGAGATCACCTGCTCACTGCAGATAGTAACTCGCAGGAATCCTCCACACTCCCCGCAGCAGGTGTGAGGCAGCAGGCATCATCACGCTCGCCTGCAAAACGACTGTTTGCATTCCACAGCCGACCACCTCCTGATGGAGCCATTTCTCCTACATTCTTGGCCTCATTTCTGACTTTTTTCTTTCCCTGTTTCTGTGGAGTTGGTAATTTACAGAATGACAGATCTGCAATGGCTGCACGTACGCTTTAGCACATCATTTCGTTCATGTTTCCAAAACATCCCATGGCCTCTCAGCTAGTGCTAATGGTTTTGAAAACAACTCTTCCACTGAGAAGAAAGAAATGTAGCAGGATTTGCCAATGTGCTCTCAAGTTACGTGTTTTTTCCTGAGTAGGCTACTTTTATTATACCTGAGGGAGAGAGCGCGTATTTAGAAGGATGATATTCACCCAAAAATTAAACTTGCCTTCCAGTATTTACTTGCCCTCATGATGTTTTAAACCCATATTGATTTCTTTCTTCCATTTGAATGCAAAAAATATATATATTTTGATTTAAATGGTAAAAGTTAACTTTATTTTAAAAAATTATAAAATAAAAATGTATACTTAAGATAGCAAGCTCTTAATTTTGTAATCCCACTATAGCATTTTCAAAAATAAAGAAATGGTTAAAAACATGAATAAAAAAAGGAAGTAAGCACCCTAACCAGTGCGCTTGGTAATCTGGGTAAGTCTGTGAATCAGAATCATTTATCCTCATTTAAAGACCAGGCAACACAAATTGTACATACAGTACTCCATAGCGGGCAAGCTGTTAAAATAAAAGTCCCGCTTACAACACTTCTGTTCAGCCAAACAGAAAAACTGATATGCCAATAATAAAAAAATAAAAACTACATATTGACCAATATATTGGCCAGCAACTGATTTGAAATTTTGACCACTTTATGGCTGTGCAATTTTGTAGTATGAATGATAATGAATCAGAATGAGTTTTATTGCCAGGTATGTTTACACATACGAGGAATTTGTTTTCGTGACAGAAGCTTCCACAGTGTAAGAGAATGACAGTGACAGAACAAAAAACATAGATAATAAAATAAAAAAAATAGAACAAATAAGGAATAAAAAAATATACAAATCGACAACTGTATGTACAGGTATATAACAATAGACAGTTGTATGTACAGGTATATTATGTGCAAATTGAAATGTAGACTAAGTATGTGTGTTAGATAAATAAGTGTATGAGTGAATAAATAGTGTGTGTTCCACAGTTATTGTCAAGTGTTCATGAGATGGATGGCCTGAGGGAAGAAACTGTTCCTGTGTCTGGCCGTTCTGGTGCTCAGAGCTCTGTAGCATCGACCAGATGGCAACAGTTCAAAGAGGGAGTGTGCTGGATGTGAGGGGTCCAGAGTGATTCTGCCAGCCCTTTTGCTCACTCTGGACGAGTACAGTTCTTGGAGAGAAGGGAGGGTTGTACCAATGATTCGCTCAGCAGTCCGGACTACCCTCTGAAGTCTTCTGAGGTCAGATTTGGTAGCTGAGCTGAACCAGACAGTTATAGAAGTGCAGAGGACAGATTCAATGATGGCGGAGTAGAACTGTTTCAGCAGTTTTGGATGTGCATGGACGTGCAATTTTGTAGTACGAAAGATCTTGGCAAAAGCATAAGAAAATATCTGCAAAAAACCGTCTTGAATATTTCATGGAAGATAATCACAATGAGTTTGGCACATCAAAAGAGAATAAATTATTGTTGTTTGGACTATTTCTTTACTGTGAATAGCATGCTGGATAACCACCACGAGTGGCCCACAAATCATACAAGTCAGATTGAACTTGCACGCTCTCTAAAAACAGCCTCATGTGTGTAGCTCCTCCACCCCAGCTGTTTGGTAGACGTCGCTGGCCAAGTTTCTTTTTTGGGTGGGTGTGCTTCATGAAATGACTGTCCTGCGCTGGGCTCAGTGGTGTCCGTCTGAGCTGTGGAATGCTGAGAGCTGTTTAGGAGGAAATCATAAAATGCATCCCCGAACAACCCAAACCCAGAAGCCACAGTCTCAGACCACAGCCGCTTTATGATGCACATGGAAAGGTGTGGGCTTGAGCTTGTTTTAGCTGAGGTTGCACACATGTGGGCTGAATCTGTTGAGCGCCGACTGCTTCACAATATGTTTAAATATGATCCTTCAATTTAAAGCTCCACTTAATGTTACGACCCCAGTGTGGTCAGTCAAGGGGAAAAGGGGAGTACCAATAGAAGTGTTTCTCAACATGACTTGAGGTATCATTCATGTCCATAGAGCAAGTTTCATGCCAAAGTTTAATAACTTTTTGTTAAATCAGCTGTTCCACATTAATATAGGTAAAGTGTTCAGAATGTCCTGGTTTATATTAGAACAAGAAAATCTTTGCTTTCCGTTTTGTGCTGCTCTTAAATGTGAACAGAAAACCTCTGAATGGTTGTTTTGAGCCCTGCAGGCCCTGATATTGACTTCATGATTGACTGGAAACCTGAGCGTATGTGCTTGTCATGAGTGTTGGCCCTCATGCTGTTTGCATATCTGCCCCACAGTTCTCTGAAAACAGCTAATTCATGTAGATCTAGGGTTTTCTTCATTTTCTTATTTTGTGTCATATTTCAGTCAGATACTGCTCTCAGTTTAGGATTTTTATATTAGCATTATGATTTACATCAAGTCTTAATTGTTTTTTTTTTGTCAATTTTCAATACAAAATTTTAACAAGAACACCTTTATACCCAAGTACAAAACTGGTCAACCAATAAGAAAACTTGTCAACCAATGTTAGCTTCCAGATCATGTGTTTAAAACTGGCATTCAAGAAAGGCATTTAGCAGAACATAATGTTGGTTTTTGAGTACATAGAGGCTACATACAATTGCAGTGAAAATAAGTGATTTTATTTAATTTTTCATGCTTTACCTTTATATCACTGTTATTTTATTTATTTATTTTTATTAACATTTTTTATTATTTAATTTTTGCACTGAATAAACTTGGAAATCGCCATTTGTGATTGTTTTTTTTTTGTTTGGCTAGTAGTTATAAAATTTTTATTTTTTTTTAGGTGGAGCAGTCCAAGGTGCTGATTAAAGAGGGTGGAGTTCAATTGCTGCTCACCATCGTGGACACGCCAGGGTTCGGAGATGCTGTGGATAACAGTAACTGGTAAGCGTGATTTCTTTATTTTTTGCATGTTATCTGGGAGTCTCCTCATATTGGTGTTTAATAAATGAAAGATGGTTGGTTTGTTTATATTACATTTGCATGTTGTTGACTCTGAAATGTCGGTTGCATGTCCTGTAGCTGGCAGCCCGTCATCGATCACATCGACAGCAAGTTTGAGGATTACCTCAACGCAGAGTCACGCGTCAATCGACGCCAGATGCCCGACAGCCGAGTGCACTGCTGTCTGTACTTCATCGCCCCCTCTGGTCATGGGTAGGCACTCCTTTTCAAGCATTAAACGCACACAAACCCTCTGCATTTGTTGCTTGTATTTCTGCTGTGGAGGGGCTTTTAGAGGTGAGCTCTTGAGACTTGTATTGTTGCATCTCATCTGAATCTCATACTCATCCAACTAAATCAAAGTTCTTTGGCGTGTGTGAAATGGTTAGGCCCTCTTTCTTTCTTTTCTCTTTTTCTCTCACACTGATTCTTTCTGTGGCTCAAAGTCATGCTCTGGCTGTTTTTGTTTGCACATCCAGGAAGTCAGGGAACGCTGAGAAGTTAGGAAAACACAAGTATATTTAATACAGTTTGCCCATACTTGAGGAACAAACTCCTAACCCTGTTTAATATCTCAAACAGTGAGACATGTTGGGAGAAGTTTTTTGTTTGGGTGGTTTGGTTTGCTGTGTTAAGTTTTGATTTGTTTTGGTGTGTCTGGTGGTTGGTTTTCTTGGCTTTTGAAAGTGTTTTATGTTTTGTATTGTTCGGTGTGCTTTCTTTTGGTTTAGTGTTTTTTGTTTTGTTTTTATTTGGTTTGCTGTGTTTTTTTTATTTGTTTTGTGCTATTTGTTTGGTTTGGTTGATTTGTTGGTGGTTTGTTTGGTGGTTTTTGAAAGTGATATGTTTTGTATTGTGTGTGTTTTGTTTTGGTTTGGTGTGTTTAGTTTTTGATTTGGTTGGTTTTATTTGTTTGGTGCTTTTTTTGTTTTGGTTTGGTTGATTTGTTTTGGTGGTTTGTCTGGTGTTTTGTTTGGTGGCTTTTGGAAGTGTGTTTTGTTTGGGTGGTTTGGTGTGTTTAGTTTTGATTTGGTTTGGTTGGTTTGATTTGTTTGTTGCTTTTTTTGTTTGATTTGTGTGGTGGTTTTGTTTTCTTGGCTTTTGAAAGTGTTTTATGTTTTGTTTTGATTTGGCTTGTTTGGTGTTTTTGTTTGGTTTGGTTTAGTTTTGAAAGAAGGGCTTGAGCCAAACCTAGGGACAAGAATTTTTACGAGACTTGCAGCTGAACTCTTTTTACTCGAGCCATTACATAACCACATACAGTAGCTATGTGCTAAAAACCACCGTAATAATAGACTTAAAAACTACTCTGAACACTCTAGAACCCATATAGCCACTTCTTTACCATCACTCAAAACACTTTAGCAACCCTTATAGCAATGTCTTGGCAACCACTCAGAAACCCCCAGCACATTGGCATGGCCCCAGCACAGTACGTTTTGAATGGGGAAAGTACCAGTTACATTTTCAGAAAATGTAAATGTCACATTTATATTTAAGTCGTTTTCAAAGTATGAGATGCAAAGTAATTCCTCCTCCCAGTTCCTCAGAATGTCAATCTAATAAAATGTCACAGTACACTGTATATTTGAAACGTATAATATAACCTTGATTTAGTTAAGACACAAAAAAAGCTTTTCACCTGTTGAATCGAATCCTGTGTGTGTGTGTGTGTACAATGGCTAAAGCTGTGAACATCACAATGGCCTTATTTGACAGGCACAAATGATTTCCTGCCATTTATTTATTGCTCTTCTTGCAGCACATGTGGCTTTACTACAAGCCGAGCTATAAGTTCAGCTAAGCTGCCAAACAGCAGTGTGAATGTGATCCCTCACTGCTGCTCTACAGAGGAGACCTGTGCGCCTGCTTTTGGACTTACGCTCAGTGTTTAGTTTGAAACATTAAACCCTCACATTCTCTCTCTCTCTCTGTCTGTCAGACTGAAACCACTGGATATTGAGTTCATGAAACGGTTACATGAAAAAGTGAACATCATCCCACTCATCGCCAAAGCAGACACACTGACTCCAGAGGAGTGCCAACAGTTCAAGAAGCAGGTGAGAGTGATCGCATACTAACGCCAAACTCACTACCTGTAGACTTGGGGGGTTTTCCCCCCTGAAGTCCACCTATAACAAGATTTATTGGCCAAAAAACACAATTCAGTTTTGTTTTTGTTTTTCTAGAATACATTTCCTCCCTCTTTATGATCCTTAGTCATAATCTGGCTGTGAATGGAGTTTAACGTTCTTGCCATGTGAGTGAATCCTAAATAGGTTGTTAGTGTCATTTAATCTAAATGCAGTCAGAGTCACATTATTGTTCAGTATTTAACAATAAATTCCATCCCATTTATTGTTAAATACTGAACAATAATCAGTATTTAATTCATTGGCAGAAAACTGGAGAAACACAGGGATATTCCTCCAGTTTTCTGCCAAAACTTAAAGGTTTATTAGCAACATCTAAGAATTCTGCATCAAAGTGAGACATTACAGCAAAAATTGTTCAATATTATCTTACAACAATGTTCAGTTTGACCAGCATTTATTTATTTATTTAAATATAAATAATGTGTGTGTGTGTGCGCAATATTGGTTAAAATAACTAATTTGAAATAGATGAAATTAATTTTCATAATTTTTTTTATTCATAATTTTTAGTACTAAATTAAAAAATTTTGATTTTCTGATCTGGGATTGCCTTCTCAAAGGATACATGCAGTGCTGGTTTAAATTAAAACAATATCTTTTAACACATCATAATTATTTTTAATAGCCTTTGTGTAAGCATTTTGCACCTATGATGCCTTAAAATGCTGTCTAGTTTGGCAGCTCACTAGGTTTTGGAACAGAGCCCATGTGTACATCAAGTCAAGTCAAGTCAAGTCTGCTTTATTGTCAATTCTTCCACATGTACAGCACATACACACAGAGAATTGAAATTGCGTTACTCTCAGACCCTTGGGTGCATACAGATAACATAAATACAGATTAAATACAAAATACAACTATACAAAATACAAAATACAACTATACAAATATACAAATAAGGTAAAATGTAAAAATATATATATAAAGCACAAGGCATATGGAGGATAGAGTGCGAACCAGTAAAGTAAACAACAGTGCAGATATAGTGATGTAGTGCAAAAAAATGATTTGTAGTGCAAAAGAGCTTATTTCAGACTGATTAAAGTGACAGTGTGTGTGTGTATTTGGGAGGGGGGGAGTGGGAGAGTCCATCAGAGGGTCAGAGTTCAGTGGTGTGTGGGGCAAAAGAGGGGAGGAACACAAAAACACAACAGTCTCTTACAGTCCTCTGAGTTGAGCGTAGTAGTCGGATGTAGTCCAGTTTATTGTCCAAAGAGCGTACGTTAGCCAGTTCGATGGTGGGGATAGCCGGCTTGTGTGGGTTAGCCGCTAGCCTAGCCCGGATACCTCCGCGCTTACCCCTCCGCCGCTTGTGGCGCCTCCGCTGTGGGCGAGATGCAGCTGGAGTGGACCTCCGGAGCAGACCGAGATCCCGCAGCTCTTCGGCGTGTGCAGAGTTTAACTCTAAAAATGTGGTTCTGCCGACATCGAGCAGAAACTCACGACAATATGTGCGCTTGGAAACAAATAGACGCAACAAATGCGTACAAAAACACTGCGACTCACAAGACAAAAAACACGAAAAGACCTTTCTGTTGGGAGAGAAGCCGCAGCGTGTGAACGCGCCGCCATCTTGGAGATCTACATAGTACATTGCTTTATTTCGTAAAGCTAAGAAAATCTTGTTTTCCATTATATAATCCCCAAGGTAAACTTGCTGCTGTTTTATGTGCATGAACAAACATTCAGCCTCCATTCAGTTTGATATTAACTGCCCTCGCTGTTGAACAGCCGTTCATAGAGACGCAGGAGTTATGTTGCATCTCAGCATCATGAAAGCATTCCCAGTGTTTCAAATCATGCATGTGGGACAGTTGCAACATCTGCAAACCAGCTGAAGCAACGTGTGTGTGTTGGGGTGTTGCGAACGGCGGCTGCAGTGAGAACTCATCATAACACTACAGATAAATCTGTCCACACATGGTTTTTATGCTGACTCCTTAGAGAGTCAATGCAATTGCAAACCAGTGACACTGAGAGCCCATAGAGCCTGCTGGGAGATAGCAGGTCTTTTTACTTGTCAGCACCAATTTGACCTCTGTCCTTTTGTTTTCCTCTTTTCCCAGATAATGAGAGAGATCCAGGAACATAAGATCAAAATCTATGAGTTCCCGGAGACTGATGACGAGGAGGAGAGCAAGCTAGTCAAGAAGATTAAGGTTTGTTTGATTATGAAAGTTAATGAATGATTTTATTTTATTTTTTCAAGATTTACTAATTGGTGGTAATCTGAATGACTAGATGGCTTTAAGGCCCCAGTAGATTTAAAATAAAATTGAAGGCGGAATGGGTGTGATTTCAGACAAAATCTGGCCAAAACAAAGGTGTTTTGTAGATTGTTTCAGTGGTTTAAATCAGCTCACCAGCATCACACCGTGTCCTAACTGCACGCGGCGCGACAAGATTCCAGTGACAAGCAATTTGGGTGTCCACACCAGACACGATGCGACGCTGCGACGCAACAGAATCAATCAAGTATCACAGCCAATCAGAAGCGTGTATGGGCGGGCTCTCTCTGGAAGCACACTGCTCTTGCAACGAAATGGATACGTTTATAATCTAATTCATAAATATTAAACCTTTTTAACAGCATACTGAGTGACTGATAACATCTTTGTCATGGAATACACACATTGGTACGCAGTGAGTCCACTAGTAGATAAAATATCTATTGTTGCTTTCAGTATGACTATAAGGTCACACAAAATTATATTTAAACTCATATTAGAGGCATTTAACTTTGAATAAAGCACATAATCAAATGAGATTATCTACTGTCATATAGTTTGAATGTTGTTATTCCAGTCGTGATGTCACGGAAATAGAAACCGTTTCTAAATTAGGAATTTTGCGTGTGGCCTTCGCGGCTAGTTAGGACAAAAACTCAGATTAACATGGAAAAGATGCCTTTTATCTAGAGCCCGACCGATATATCGTTTTGCCGATATTATCGGCCGATATGAGCCTGTCGCCGATATATCGATATCGGCGAATATGCCGCGGATATGAATTTTTTTTTTACAGAACATATAATGCAGATAAAATGCTTGAAATGATGTAATTACTTAGTTTGTCCAGCAGAGCGCACTCCATTGTTTGCTACTGGTGACCTGGATGAAACGCTTTAAAGCTTAAGTCAATGGAAAACCATTGAAACTTTGAACGACCATATCTCCGTAACAGCGCGACGAATCCGCACCAAATTCGGGGGATCTCTTCAGCTCAATGAACCCTCTCGAACGCGAATCGAGTGTACGTCTCGAGGCCCTCTTTCGAATGAGACCACCCCCGCGTGGATAGCCCCCAGGGTTCGGGAGCTAGGGGTGGTTAAATTTGCGGTCCAGCGCCGACCGATCTAGTGATCCTGGGGGGCTACTGACGCGTGAAGGGTGGCGTTCGAGAGGGCTCCTCGAGCTGAAGGGATCCCCCGAATTTGGTGGAGATCCGCCGGCGCGTTCGTGAGATAGTGACACCAGCCAACACTTTCACTTCAGTAAGGAAGTCTCTTGTTCAGGCAGCAGCATTCACGCGGTGCCTTATTCGACCAAGTGCCCTGCGAAGTGGACTTCACATGAAATTCCGTCATGATTCCAGTTCCAAGGGAACGTACACGTTACATTCAAAGGGCATTAAAGTGCGCGAGACGTGAATTTATATTGTATTTATTTACAGAGGTAGGGGAGAGCGGGGCACAAAGTAACACTTTTTGACTTTCTCAGTTTGTGTAAATCCACATGGGGTTCAGAATATATATATATTTTTTATCCACGGTAATTTTACACTTGTCTAGTACAAATATGTCGCTTTGTTTCATAATTACAGTGTATACGGTTTTCTTTATTTACCCTCAAAAAATGGAAGTGAAATGTGACAACATGCCCCGTAGGTGGAACACATTGTAACATCTGAGGGGCACGTTGTAACTTGACCATATGACAGCTTAAAATCGTATCTGATCGAATGAAAAAAATATACAAGACAAACTAAAATGTTTTGTTAATAAATATATATATATATATATATATATATATGAAATAATAATTTCTAAACATTAAACATTGACTGTCAGTCTTTATTCACCTGTTTCTCGTTATTTCTCATTAAAATTAATTAAAGTAAATAGTGTAAATTACATAGCTAATGTCATAGAATAGCACATTGTAACGCAGTGTTACAACTTGCCCCATCTGCGCAACTGGAATTTAAAACTGGTTA